TTATTTATCACTTTTGCTAGAAATTAAAAAAGGCCGACCAACAGATAGAGCCACAGTCCCTCCCCCACCCCCGCACTTAGGATAGGTTAATTGCTGCAAGGCTGCCAGGAATTTGTTTGTAAAACGCTGCAACAAATTGTCGCTTTTTATTTCATAAAGTCACAGTGTTCTATGTAGGTGATGTTGCAGTGAGGGAAGTTCAGTTTGAGCAACTGTACGCGTCCTGCGTTCTTTCCAAGATATCTTAAAAAATTATATATACAAACTTGACAGTCTAAATATTTAAAGCACAATCTTGCCTTAAAGCTATTAAAATTATACGAACTAACTACAATTTTAAAAGAGATACAAAATCCTTTTTATTTGTGAGTACTGGCTTTGTTAAATCATTTATGGTTTTTAAGGATTAGAACATGTCCTACAGAATCTGCAAACTCTCAGTGGTGCGCCAATTTGCATCGAAGAAACCATGCCACGAGACGGGGAAGAAAGAGCTGAATCACTTCACTATTATTCATTGGAAAGAAAAAATTCGGAAGGACGTAACTATTATCACCGTATCACATCCGAAGATTTGTCCTATCCACATGATGAGGGATCCAGGGAAACCTGGGTTTGGGCTCATTGTGCAGTGATTGAAGTTCTTTTACGTCTCTGGCTTCGACTTAAAGTTGAAATAAAGTGTTTGGCCCAATGCTTCAGGTAAGGTCTAGTTTGTATTTGTTTCTAAGAGAATATTTGAAGAAAAAACTAAATAATGTGTTATTCAATACCGCCAAAATTCTGATAGTTTTAGAATATTAAAATCCATTTTTTGAAATGATTAAAGCATAAATCTGATGTACACTTGCAAAAAGATAGGAGCTATTTACGGTTTCTTGAATCTTCATAACAAAAACATAAGCAAAAGGAATTTGCCTCTTTATTACCAGCAAATTAAAAACTTCTATTTTCTTTGATATTATTTGCCACCAAGAGCTCAGATCTGTTGTCTTTTCGATTCACAACGTTTGTGGCTTGTGGAGACATTCAAACACAATTGATTATTTTATTTGATTTTTACTCCTACAGCAAGATTGTTGGACAAGACATATCGCTCGACTCTAGTGATGATTTATGCGGAGCGGATGGTGCCCTGTTTTGGCTTGTGGCTACTGCAGCACGATCAGCATCTCTCTTAGGCGTAAAGGTAATCTCTTGGCATTGGCCTCTGAATATTTTTGCAGAAAGTTTTGCTTGCATAATAAAAACGAAGTTTTTTCAAATTAAATTTGCAACCCTTTATAAAGATTAAAATTGCTTTCGTACTCGTTTTAAAAACTAGATCCTCTATGTACTTTTACCGGAGATCTTATAAAATCTACCTCATAAAGTTTTTCACTGAAGGCTGGAAATCGGATCAGCAGCTATTGACAAAATCAGAAGGCATGCATTACTGTCTACCTGCGTCAAACGGTTTGGAAATCTATTTTCCCTTTCTGCCCATTGTGAGAGCTCAATAAAGTAACCAGCCAAGAATAGCACTGGAGATTGTTTGTTTTACTCAGTAAACCAGAGCGTAAGCGACTGATGAACCAGAATAAACAGATCTGCCGGTGAAAATTATCCCTTGCTCAGCTTCTAATAAAAAAAGAAGAGCTCTGCTTCTACATTTTGCGCAGTCCAATAACTATTTCGGATAAAGACCAGTATTTTCACTATCTCACAACTATCCAGAAATTAGGCAAATACGATAGCCTCCATCCATGGGGTGTGTCATAGCTGTTATTGAATGTTTGCAAGCGTAATCTACAATGAAATGTGTAAGTGTTTATCAGAAAAGAGGTTCAGTGGTGATATAATTCTATTGAAACTGATGAGTTGTTGCGTATTCATTATGCACCATTATTTACTAAGAGAAATTAGGATATGTCCAGTCGTTAAAACCGTACGGACGAGCTTTCATCTGTGTTATCTATTACTATATTTTATGTTAGGCTTTTTTTCAATAAAGACACTATAACCGGTATGCTTAAGTTAACAAAAGCAATTAAAATATTTCGAAAAACATAATTGAATGAAACTCGGAAGAAATTGGTAGTCGATGAATCGTATAAGGTATTTGCAAAACAGATTACATTTCGGCAGAAATTCCCATTTCGTTTACGATTGATAAGTCGTATTGGCAAACAGTTGTTTTCGGTCATTCACTTCAGGCCTTTACCGTGACATGCAAAATAGGCGAGTAAAACAGGCGGTTCTGTACAGTGCTAATATAGTAAAATATGCCGAAAATGATTACGGGGTATAGCATATACAAGGTATGTCTCAAGACCATTTATAAATTGCGATGGTCACAACTGACATAGTTGATAATCCTAACCCTGAGGCTATGCCTAGTGGGGGAGTGTGAAAAAGAGGGCAATCACACATCGAAAACTCAACCTATTTTCAAACTATTTTTGGATTATAAAGAATAGGGAGAGGTAGGACATGTGAACGTGGACAATGGAATCTTGCTATCGAATTAGACGTACAGAAGAAGAAGATGCGATCACTAGAACAAGAGTTTTATTTTCCCGACGTTTCGGATTCTGCCGAGAATCCTTAATCATAGGTAATCGTAGGACAGTCGCAGACTATGCTTTAGGATTCTCGACAGAGTCCGAAACGGCAGGAAAACAAAAACTCTTGTTCCAGTGATCGCATCTTCTTCTTCTGAACTGCCTCCTGGAACTCGCATATTCTTCTCTATTGGACTTAGACGTACTTGTGTAATACTTCTTGCCAAATTCCTCTTGCGAATATTTTTAGTGAAGCTTTGAAGACTTATTTTACAGAGATGGTACTTATAATTTTATTCTGTCGATAAAATCTATAATTTGCCGTCGGATTGTAAGCTAGCCTCCTAAGAACTTCATGTGAGCATTACTTGTGACATTGGTTCTTTAATTATCCTGCATAAACAGGATAACAGCGAGTCTCATAGGGTCAAGCGGCTAATTCTTGCACGTGTTGACTTGTGCGGTGACCTGTTTGCATTTCGGTCAACAACTTTAGGAACTGGAAGATTTGAGATATTTAGAACAGAAGCGCCAAAAATGGCTTCAGTAAGTACCAAAATGGCATCCACTAAGGTTCTTGCATGAGGAGCTTAGCAGCCGCATGTGTTTTACTTCAATTTATCTTTTATTTGCCTTCCAAACACACAATAGGGTATTTAGATCATGTAAAAATGTATGCCGAGGTCACCGGTAACTACGGCGCCAGGCAACCTGGCAAAATCCAAAGGACGGGTTTCATGATCAGACTTTTCTACAGGCCTTGCTTTGGCTAGTACATGTAAGGATGTCTGCCAACTGGTTCGATAACCCCGTCTTTGTGACGAGTACTTTGCATGGACGTGAGAGACCTGGATCGAGGATCGAAATTCAGGTTCAATGGATATTTCAGAATGTGGTCTCTGTAGCATTCTTATGGACACGAGATTCGAGCCATCATTACCACCCCTGTCTATTTAAAAACTCGGACGATTGTGCGAGGATCACGTCGTGTTTGGTGCACGTTGCTGGACAGTTTGGCTTTGTCAACCACTGCGCCCGAGATCGCCGCTGAGCTCATTCTAGCCCTGTCTGACCCAAGTGGGTGAGATAGGAGGGAGGGCGGCAGATGTTGCGCAGGTCTGCTATGACTATAAACTACTTTGCACGCAAATCACTGTTCTGTGCCCGAGATGCTATGGAGCACACGGTGGCTACTTTCGCAAGCGACCATCAAACTTTTATATTCAATCAATAAATCGCCTTGAAAGTTGTGACAATGTCTTTTTTTTAACTAAGGGGATAATAATTGTTAAAACAGAAAGATGGCGATCTTCGACTACGGCCTTCTGATCAAGTACATTCAAATATGGCGTTTTTTGTAAGAACTTATCAACAAACTTAAGTTCGGATTCATGACAGGAAAATATAGTAAGGTTTGGGAAGTAGACTGCATCTAAAAGGAGACTGGACAAAATAGGAACTTCATTCAGTCAGAAAATGTGCCTTCCGCAAGACCGAACCGTTGGACTTCCGATCTAACATCTAGTGCCTTGACACGTCGTATATGGGAGCAGACTGATTTTCGCGTACAGTCGAATCTCAGTTAACGAGTTTAACCCACTCCAACATCGAGCCTGTCATATGAAACGCTCGTCTAGCGAAACGTAGCCAATCAGTTCACTAATTGACTGCAGGCAACCGAGCCCCCACGCCCTGGGAGAAAGACCCAACGGCGGACACAGCAACAGACACACACGCAGTGACAACTCGTTAACTGAACGGAAACTCGTCGACGGAAACAAATTTTTCTGCAAATGGCTCGCTCTTTACCTGGAATGCTCGCAGATGGAGCTGTTCGTTATCCGAGGTTCCACTGTAGTCGGTTGGTGTGTCCTCCATATTTCGGTCGATGGAGCAAGCTATAAAAAACTTGGAGGTTAGTGGTTCAATGGTCTCTCAGTTCACACGTTTTATAGCTAGGTGAGTTAAAATTTATCCATGCTCTGCAGATCCCGCCCATGATGTCTGTTTTGAAGAAATGGAACTAGCTATGTGTTTGTTTTATTTAACGGGAAATAGTTCAGCCTAGAAAAGTCGTGTAGGTTATGCCTAACCATAAGGCCGAGCTCTACGACCTCCTGCGCAGTGCGTACCGGTATCAAAAAAGCCTGTAATAAGCCAGTCTTCAAAGAGCACACAGATTTTTATGTCAAGTTTACACATTAGAGAGGGCTGCATTTAGGTTTTTCGAGGTATCGCTAAAGGATGAACGGTTTACTCGAAGCCTGGGCGCCGGCCTCCCAGAATAAACACCTACAAACATTCCTTAAGGCTTCTATTTACCTCTAGGACTGCCAAAAGTGGCTCGACCTGCATATGGCCGAAAATATGCGAGGGTCAGATGCGGATCAACAGACCGATGAAATGGGGAATAATGAGGTCAAGAAGACTGATCGTTTTCTACGAGGTGTGGCCATTCCCAACCTGGTTGCACTAGTTCTCTGCCACTATCTTCAGGACTACTCTTACCATGCCGGTAAGCTTTACCACTATTCCCTGTCTGCATGCTTATTCTTTTAAATACTCTTTCATGCGCGTCGCTCTGATCGTAGGTTGTACTGCCTTCCTAGAGGAGCGCTGGGGCTGTTCGGCTCGCGATTTTAGCGTAATCTCTTCCAGTTTCTGTAACCCTTGCTGACTGGGACAGTGAATTCGGGGATGAAGAGCAGCTAGTGTTTGGGAGGTGCTGCTGTCATGACGACCACTTAACGAAGAAAGTTTTCTTAGCCTCCATCATTGTAGGTCAGGCAAGAATGCATGCCTGAAATAATGAGAAGTTTTAACGGAGAATTAAAGTTGAATCAGTTACTCAGTTATTCAGACCCTGTCTAGGTCAACCAGTAGTTAAACCTCATTAGTTATCTTCTCTTCCTCTGACTTGCTCTTCTAACACACGTTTGGCCCACATTTTCACTGGGACATGAAGTCCCGCATTGGACAAAGAATTTATCCTCCAACGTTATGGAATTTACTATTGCCGGCAAAGACAAGGGAGACTGGCATGGCCGTCGTCAGCCAATCATACTTAGATCCAAGTGGGGCCTATACTACCCGCTGCTACGGCTGTCAAGGCTTCTATCCAGGCCCAAGGCAAAGCGGGACAAATGTGTTCCGTTAGCGGTTGGGTGAACGTTCATCAAAGAGTTATGGAATTTATTCTGCTCCTCTGGGACGGACTGCTTAATCTCAAATCAAAAAGTAATATTTATTTTTAGCGACCTACGTAGGTCCCGCTTGGCAAGTATCTTATTACCCGATTGTTCCGGGCTATCTAACTTCACGAAATACTTCCATGTGGAAACTTCCAGGCTGTCCCTTCCGAGGACACACTATTTCTACTCTAGTTGCTCTCACGATTCTCGGGAAAAGTTGGCCTCAAAAACGCAATTATGTTGTCTAGACTCGAATGAAACTTATCTACCCATAAAACATAAGTTAATTTTGTGGCAGGCACATGGGGACAAATTGTGTTTCGGGCGAGTTTCTGTGACTGAGAACGCACAATTAACGTGAAGAACTTGACGATCACGTAATTCGAATTCATGGGCGTTTTCCTTTGCTACGCTCCGTGCTTGTTTCGTTTTCTGACTATTCGCGCACTTCTCATTTATTCTTTGAGTTCGTCAAGGTCAACTCCCCCAACTCAGCCGATTTATGTAAGTGTTTAGATATTGGGGAATACTTTACTCATGGTGGCTGCTCATACTAAAATACAGCCCTCAACCCTGTCAACTGCTCCCGCCTGCGCCCAGGAACCATCAACTCAAGTCGTCATTTTTTAGGTGAACCTTTCTTCTGCACATTTGTCTCCTTCCTTCCCGATGCAACGAGTTCATATAACCTCAACTCCTTACAAGACAAGCATGCTTTACACAGGCACAAACCTAGGTCAATACCTAGGTCACACCTTAGGTGCCTCCACAGTAGATGTGCGTTCGTGCTGTGGGCAGTTGCTGTTGGCAACGCTTAATCATTCATCCAGTCATGTGTGTTACGTGAGTAGTCGTAACCACGGGACGTTGCTTGGTGTGACACTATACTGAGATTAAATCGAAGGCGGTCGTCGCGTTTTCCATGCGGTTATAGCTGCTTACGACAAGCACTCTTTCCCCGATGACCGAAGCGGGAGTGGAGCATTCTAACGCAAACTCATAAATGAAGCTTTCTTCGGATTATGACGTCACGGTTTGCTGCTGAGCTAAAGGTCAGCGGCTACAGACTGAAGTGGCCGATTATCTGATGGTGGTCCGATTACTAAGGCCGCGGTTTGCCAGCTACGATCTTAATTTCTTTAGGTAAATAGGAGTGGCTCTGGACCATGTCCCGAAATTCAAAAGTAAATTTATTAGCACCTATTGCATGGCTTCTTGTGCATACTTTTAATGTGTATAAACGTGACAATGTTTTTCTGTTAACCCACGAAAGTAACTACAGCGCAGAAACGATTTTTTGGCATTACTATTTTATGACCGGGTTCAGAATTTCGAATGAACTTCGGGAAGAAGGGTGAACTGCCGAATGCGGACACGGAACACAACATTGATCGCATACTGCAGATTAGTGCTCGGCACATTGAGCCTTC